AATGCCATGGCAGCAATAAGCTGATCCTCTCTTTGATGAGACTTCGTGCCTGCGTTAAAAAATCATCTGGTGCATGAAATGCCCGAGCGGAATGAACTGATCGTCGTGCCAGCCTCATTAATTGGACATAAAAGCGACATTGCTTCTCCAATGATTAGGACAGAACATAAAGAAAGAAGGCCGAGTTTGCAGTAAGTTACAGTCAATGCTTATATTGCTTCGAGTTATCAAACCCTCGATTAATACACACACATATTCTAGATCTTGATCATACAGAGACTAGTTTCCTGCGTGCAAATGAGCAGTATAATTATTGCCATAATGATGGTGAGTAGCAATGAAGTAGGAGAATGAATTCGGAGTTTAACAAATTAAAATGGTCTTGTTTCATAAGCAGCTTATTCATTCATCAATTTGCAGAGGGTTAGAATTATAATGATATTAACGTCTCAGGAGTGATATTAGTTTCCATTTGATGATTGTTTTTACAGATTTCATCCTTAATTGTCTTTAATCGAGTTGTGACTTCAGGAGTCAGTTTTAGAAATATCGAAGATTATCAAATACGAATTTGGTATTTCATGCACTGAGGATAAATTATTAATAATAAATCCGTTCCCGAAGGATATGGAGGAGTGACTTAAACAAAGTCAATACACCTAAATTTTGACAACATCTGCGGAAGGGACACCATTGTAAAGTAACATCGTGGAATTAAATGAAAGGTGAACGAGTTTTGGAAGCAGCGGTGTAGACGGTTCGTGATTGAGACTGTCACGAGTCTCAAGTCGTCTGTTGTTGCGGTTGTAGATTTATCGCATTCGATTTATCAGTGCGATTGTCAAGACATGCAAGCTTCAGGTTTCAGGTTCAAGACATGAAGAATCTAAATATATAATGCCAATATTTGTATAGGTGGTTTAAGAAAACTGGCGTAGAGGAAAAACTACTGAATAAATTAAAATAGAGTTCTGAGTACTTTTCTAATTAGAGCAGAAATTTCATTGTGATCCGATTACAGTTTTCAATCTTATTTTTCACTATAGAAAACAAAATAATGCCCCGGTGCTGGGATCTGCTATCTCATATTATGTGTATGCGTTCTGATCATTACGCACAACAATAATCCTAAAGACGACAATAATTTGCACAACAAACCTAAATTAATTCCATGAAAGATTCAAGTCGTAGATTCCCGAGACGCGAGTACAACCGTACAGCGATTATACGATCCTACGGAATAGATCTCCCGGATCAGAGTTGGATAATGCCTTAGATTTCGATGATCATAAGAAAGATTAATGCATCAAAGGCCAGATCGAAGAAAAGCTATGTAAAGGCATCAGAGGTATATAAGTTCAAAGGGCCAATATAAAATTCCATATGAACGAGAAGAGTGCAAATACAAAGGTAGTAAGCGCACTTGTGTCAAGCCTGTCTAGATGCCTAAAATAACTCGCACTGTCAAAAACGCGCAAATATCAAGCTAACATTTCAGGATCAAGAACACGAGACCATGACTTCCAACTCTTTATCCTCGCATGTCAGAACTTATTGGGGAAATATGATGCTATTTGTACGGGATTCATGCGATGCCTGTAGGCAACATCGATCCGTGTAGAGTTTAGCCGAAACAATCGCACATCATAAGACACCGCAAGTTCTGCAGCATCTAAACTTCTAATGTGTACATAATTCTGTTGAAACACTGGAATAATTCTGATGGCGCAGAAATGGAACAAAGAAGCAGGCGTAGGACAACCACACACATGGATGCGCGTTATGGGACACTCGCGCATTGCACGGCTGAGTTAATTTGTGAGTATCTAGAGCAGTGGTTCCCAAACTTTTTCAGGCTGGCGCCCCCTTTGGCTCCCTAGTGAATTTCTAGCGCCCCCCACAGACACATATAAAAACATACAAAAACATACGCATCTTTCTTGAAATTTAGTACGCTGCAATTTTAAAAGATAAAGGTTAAACACAAATGCGTATTTCACAAATAGAACCCCATTTAGTGAAACAATATGTTTTTCAGCTGTTTTAACTGTTTCAGCACCTGAACACTAGAAACCTATAGGGCGTCTCGGGCAAATTTATGGCCGGACTCACGACCAATCTCCAAATTCAATTATCAAGTAATATCTCCCAAACTAATGAACGCAACTCTATGAAACTTAGAACACGTATTCATCAAAACCTAACGGTGATGTTTAGCACGTGAAAAATTTTTAACTTTCATCTTCATTCGTTAGTTATATTGCGATACAGGCACAAATTCGCAGTGATCTTAGAATTTCTTCCAAACTACTGAACAGATTTGAACGAAATTTTGAACATACATTCCTACCCTGTCAAAATTTTCGTGCCGATTAAGGTCGTTTTAGAGGACCTATATTCGGCTTAGGGGTGAATCAGGAGCAAGTCGGCCACGTAGGGTGTTTTGCTTCTATTTACCAGCCTCTTTTGGAAGTCAATTGCCCGGTAGGCCAAATCTGCGTAATATAC